GCGCCCCCCTCCCCTGCCGTGTGTGTGTGGGGGGGAGGAATCTTTATGGAGTGTGGGGCAGTCAGGACTCCTGGGTTCCAACCCCTGCCCATCATCTGGGGCAGCCTGGGAGACTCTGGCCCTTTAAGGACTCCTCTCCCCGCCCCCCTCCCCACTCCAGGCTGGGAACCGCTCGCCATGCCTGTGGGATCCCCAATTCAGGCAGCCAGGGCTCACGACCCACGGCAGCCCGTACCTGTGATGGCGCTGTAATAAGACGAATCCTCTTCGTCGTGGGATGTGGACCCCCCCACGTCCACCGAGGGGTCCCACTCCAGGTCCAAGGTGTCCCCCCCGGCAGCCTCAAACCGGTGGTGGTGCTGGCAGCAGACAGCCTTGTGTGGGGTGGACTGGTAGATCCAAGCAGTGGGAAGGGACCCCCCAGTTTCACCCTGGACCTCAGACTCCAGGGATGCATCTTCGAAGCAGTCAGACTCCACATCTGTGTCTCGGTCTGACAGCCACTCATCCTCGAAGACCTTGTGGGTGGGCAAGCAAGGAGGGTCAGCAGGGAGCTGCTGTCTGTCTCCCAGGCCTTCCCATCTCCCCTCTGGTAGCCTAACTAACCCTTCCAATACCCCTGCTTCAAAGCTCTTGCCACCTGAGCTACTGGAGAATCCCGTCATCATTGGCAGTACAGGTGCTATGACACACATTCAAGCCATTTTTTAAAAATTCTAACAGCAGAAGGCAGTGACTCACGCACCAGCTTGTAAATTATAATACCTTGCCTTATGATCCCCAAATGCTTTGGAAACATATCACCTCATCTAGCTCTGTGGGTACAACAGCAGTTGTTTATCCCTTCCCCAGGGCTGAGATGCAGCCACCTCTGGGGCGGGGCAGAGCAGCTGTTGATACAGAGCTCCCTGACTCAGTGCTGAGATGCAGCCACCTCTGGGGCAGAACACCCAGCAGCCATTTAACAGCGGCAGAGCGATGACTCACACAGCAGCTGAGAAGAAGGGAAGAATATTCTAACCAGCTGAAAAGGCAGAGGGGTACGTAGGAAGGTAAAAAAGCAGCAGCTCACATGGCCCAACTCTAGGAAAAGCACCACAATGAGCCCCCGCAGGCTAGATCTCTCCCCCAACCTCAGAACAAGGGCAGCCTCTGCCACCAAGCCTGCACCATGAGGACTCCTTGCAGCAGGGCCACTAGAACCAGCTGACTTAGACTGGCACATGCCACCACCGCCTCCTGCAGTACAGTGCCCCCTAGTGCTCAGCCCTGAATGCAAGGGGAGAGCGCCCCCTACTGCGCCCACCCCACTTTGCAGAAGAGCTCCCCCTCATGCCACCATGGGGCACTGCAGTCAGCACTGACTGTAAAGGGAGAGCTACCCCCACTGCTAGCCCTGTGGCCCCATGGAGCCGGGGAGAGCTATCAAGACTGCAGCACAAGATCACCCAGCTGCCCGGTGAGGATTTAGCTGCTGTGCCCCGTGGCGCAGGCTCCACCCCACACATACCAGCCTCATGCTGAGCAGCCCCTCTTGGCAGTGGCAGCTCAGATCCTGCAGCTCCTCCTCCAGGATCTCAGCGTCCTGCGGCTCGCTCCTCTGGATCAGCCGCTCGCCGGACACCAGCAGCCAGTCAAGTCGCTCCGCATTGGACTGCACGGCCTCCTGGAACTCCTGGGGCAGAGTCCCAGGCAGAGAGGGGGCAACGTTAGCACAGGCAATGGGTCTGGACCCTCCTTGCTCCGTGCAAACTGCCAGGGAAATCTTATGGGTAGGACCTCAGGTATATATCTTGCCCAGAAGACCGCCGGCAGCACAGCGCCCCCTGGTGCAGCACTGGAGGAGTGCCCCTGCTGAGCCTCGCAGCACAGTGCCCCCTGGTGCAGCACTGGAGGAGTGCCCCTGCTGAGCCTCGCAGCACAGTGCCCCCTGGTGCAGCACTGGAGGAGTGCCCCTGCTGAGCCTCGCAGCACAGTGCCCCCTGGTGCAGCACTGGAGGAGTGCCCCTGCTGAGCCTCGCAGCACAGTGCCCCCTGGTGCAGCACTGGAGGAGTGCCCCTGCTGAGCCTCGCAGCACAGTGCCCCCTGGTGCAGCACTGGAGGAGTGCCCCTGCTGAGCCTCGCAGCACAGTGCCCCCTGGTGCAGCACTGGAGGAGTGCCCCTGCTGAGCCTCGCAGCACAGTGCCCCCTGGTGCAGCACTGGAGGAGTGCCCCTGCTGAGCCTCGCAGCACAGTGCCCCCTGGTGCAGCACTGGAGGAGTGCCCCTGCTGAGCCTCGCAGCACAGTGCCCCCTGGTGCAGCACTGGAGGAGTGCCCCTGCTGAGCCTCGCAGCACAGTGCCCCCTGGTGCAGCACTGGAGGAGTGCCCCTGCTGAGCCTCGCAGCACAGTGCCCCCTGGTGCAGCACTGGAGGAGTGCCCCTGCTGAGCCTCGCAGCACAGTGCCCCCTGGTGCAGCACTGGAGGAGTGCCCCTGCTGAGCCTCGCAGCACAGTGCCCCCTGGTGCAGCACTGGAGGAGTGCCCCTGCTGAGCCTCGCAGCACAGTGCCCCCTGGTGCAGCACTGGAGGAGTGCCCCTGCTGAGCCTCGCAGCACAGTGCCCCCTGGTGCAGCACTGGAGGAGTGCCCCTGCTGAGCCTCGCAGCACAGTGCCCCCTGGTGCAGCACTGGAGGAGTGCCCCTGCTGAGCCTCGCAGCACAGTGCCCCCTGGTGCAGCACTGGAGGAGTGCCCCTGCTGAGCCTCGCAGCACAGTGCCCCCTGGTGCAGCACTGGAGGAGTGCCCCTGCTGAGCCTCGCAGCACAGTGCCCCCTGGTGCAGCACTGGAGGAGTGCCCCTGCTGAGCCTCGCAGCACAGTGCCCCCTGGTGCAGCACTGGAGGAGTGCCCCTGCTGAGCCTCGCAGCACAGTGCCCCCTGGTGCAGCACTGGAGGAGTGCCCCTGCTGAGCCTCGCAGCACAGTGCCCCCTGGTGCAGCACTGGAGGAGTGCCCCTGCTGAGCCTCGCAGCACAGTGCCCCCTGGTGCAGCACTGGAGGAGTGCCCCTGCTGAGCCTCGCAGCACAGTGCCCCCTGGTGCAGCACTGGAGGAGTGCCCCTGCTGAGCCTCGCAGCACAGTGCCCCCTGGTGCAGCACTGGAGGAGTGCCCCTGCTGAGCCTCGCAGCACAGTGCCCCCTGGTGCAGCACTGGAGGAGTGCCCCTGCTGAGCCTCGCAGCACAGTGCCCCCTGGTGCAGCACTGGAGGAGTGCCCCTGCTGAGCCTCGCAGCACAGTGCCCCCTGGTGCAGCACTGGAGGAGTGCCCCTGCTGAGCCTCGCAGCACAGTGCCCCCTGGTGCAGCACTGGAGGAGTGCCCCTGCTGAGCCTCGCAGCACAGTGCCCCCTGGTGCAGCACTGGAGGAGTGCCCCTGCTGAGCCTCGCAGCACAGTGCCCCCTGGTGCAGCACTGGAGGAGTGCCCCTGCTGAGCCTCGCAGCACAGTGCCCCCTGGTGCAGCACTGGAGGAGTGCCCCTGCTGAGCCTCGCAGCACAGTGCCCCCTGGTGCAGCACTGGAGGAGTGCCCCTGCTGAGCCTCGCAGCACAGTGCCCCCTGGTGCAGCACTGGAGGAGTGCCCCTGCTGAGCCTCGCAGCACAGTGCCCCCTGGTGCAGCACTGGAGGAGTGCCCCTGCTGAGCCTCGCAGCACAGTGCCCCCTGGTGCAGCACTGGAGGAGTGCCCCTGCTGAGCCTCGCAGCACAGTGCCCCCTGGTGCAGCACTGGAGGAGTGCCCCTGCTGAGCCTCGCAGCACAGTGCCCCCTGGTGCAGCACTGGAGGAGTGCCCCTGCTGAGCCTCGCAGCACAGTGCCCCCTGGTGCAGCACTGGAGGAGTGCCCCTGCTGAGCCTCGCAGCACAGTGCCCCCTGGTGCAGCACTGGAGGAGTGCCCCTGCTGAGCCTCGCAGCACAGTGCCCCCTGGTGCAGCACTGGAGGAGTGCCCCTGCTGAGCCTCGCAGCACAGTGCCCCCTGGTGCAGCACTGGAGGAGTGCCCCTGCTGAGCCTCGCAGCACAGTGCCCCCTGGTGCAGCACTGGAGGAGTGCCCCTGCTGAGCCTCGCAGCACAGTGCCCCCTGGTGCAGCACTGGAGGAGTGCCCCTGCTGAGCCTCGCAGCACAGTGCCCCCTGGTGCAGCACTGGAGGAGTGCCCCTGCTGAGCCTCGCAGCACAGTGCCCCCTGGTGCAGCACTGGAGGAGTGCCCCTGCTGAGCCTCGCAGCACAGTGCCCCCTGGTGCAGCACTGGAGGAGTGCCCCTGCTGAGCCTCGCAGCACAGTGCCCCCTGGTGCAGCACTGGAGGAGTGCCCCTGCTGAGCCTCGCAGCACAGTGCCCCCTGGTGCAGCACTGGAGGAGTGCCCCTGCTGAGCCTCGCAGCACAGCGCCCCCTGGTGCGGCCCTGTGGGATTGCCCTGCTGAGCCCCGCAGCACAGCGCCCCCTGGTGCTGCTCTGGGATTCATACTGTCGGGGAGAGTGCCCCACCCTGCAGTACAGCACCCCCTAGTGCAGGGGTGGGTAATAATTTTTGCCTAAGTGCCACTTCAAAAATTTTCGAAGTAGCCCCAGGCCACCCCGGAAGGGGCGGGGCCTAAATGGCAAGAGGCAGAGCTACCCCACCCCCAGACCATTATTGGTCTGGAGGTGGGGGAGCCCCTTTGTCCGCCCTTTCCACTGGGCACCCATGCCCTGGAAGAGGCTTGGCACTCTCCCCCACTCCCAGGCCAAGCAGGGTCTGGGTTCGGAGGAGCAGAGGAAGCTCCTCCCACCCTGAGAGGAGCACGTGGCACTTTGAAGTGCCACGGGCTCCTTGCAGGGCCAGGGCCAGGGCCAGGGCCAGGGCCAGGGCCAGGGCGAAGGAAGCTTCACGCAGCTCCACCCCCCCCCCGCCCCTGGTGGGCTGGG